GAAAGAATATTTTGTGTTTACTTATATTTTGTATTAGTATTAAATATCTGTTTTTTTATATATTGATGTGCAGTTGAAAGCATACATAATACATATACTGGGATTTAAAAGTCAAATACAACTTTCAACAACAACTAACTTAGTATACAAACTTAATTTTTTTATGAACAACGTCATAATTTCGACCACTAGGCGATTACTAGTGTTTTAAATTTTTTCAAAGGAAGTTACTTAGTTAAAAGAAAGGATGAATAAAATCTTATCCTGGAAAAATTTGTTTTAAAGAACACTATCTTACTTTATAGCACTTTTTACTTCATTTTAAGTGGTGATACTAAATTCTCCATAACTAATAGATTAACAGAGATATGCGCTTAACTTCTTATCGTTATTACAGCCATTACTGCCTTAATGAGCAATCGATACACCGTTCGTTAAGATCAGCCTACTTTGTTGACGGTAGATCTACAAAGGATTTATGAAAATCCTCATACTTTAACTAAAGGTTATATTTTATTGAAAGCACTTAATGGTATGGTAATTACCGTGTAATGACAGTGTTTACCGTATAGTGACGGTGTAAGAATATTTACTACCACATATCGTCCCGTGGGTGTCGTAAGACGCGACACAGGGAAACAAACAAGGAAATAGGCAGCTAGCAGCGTCTTCCTAATAAAATCTTAAAATAAAAACTTCTTTTGCCATCCCGCCTGCCAAGCGTGGCAACTATGGCAAATATCTCCCTATGAGGCAATCTATGGAGGGGGGACTTATGTTAAACAGTGGACTTTTAGCTCTAAAAGTAAAGGTAACGGTAACCTTGGTTAGTACCAGCTTCTAACATATTTCTACAGGCGAAACAGTGAACCTGCTGTTGTATTTTCACAAATCATAAGTCGTTATTTTCAAGAATCACGGTATAAGAAGATGTAACAAATTACACAGTGCAGTTGTGTTTCGCTAACAATAAGACAGCATTTTACTATAATAATTAAATGCTCAAATATGGCAATATTAATTACTATTAAAAATCTGTTAAGTCATAAAAGCTTTTATTTTTTAACCAATCATTATACGAATGTTGCTTATATAATCTTCCGCTTAACAATTTAAATTCTTTAGGTATTTTATCATTTAGTCGTTTTATTATTCCTATATTGTTAGATGCAGATGTCTGCAGTGGCTGCTTTTTATGATATTAACAGTTAATTTGTTATTTTTTACTCGAGGAGCGACATTCAGAGACAAGTTTGACATAAACCCAACTCCACAATGTTTGGCATTTGTTTCTGGGACATACTATACAAGATAAATTTTTAACATTGCGTAGTTTCTTTCTATATTTTTAAAAAACAATCGACTGCTGAACACGCGTGGTGGCTTTTTTTCAAAGCGTGTCGATTACAGCGAACCGGGAAAAGGGGTACTAAGCATCGTTTTCGCACAATTAACAATTTTCCACGTTGCCGTTGTAAGTATTTACGTATATCATGAATATAGTATGTTTATAATATACTCTAATTCTTCGGAGGCCATAATAACATTCCCTTAGTCGACTTTCCATTGTCACGGCGATGCCGCACAGCGAAGCGATAGACGACCTGGTAAGATATGCAGGGAGTCCATGGATGCAGGTGGCTCAGGACCGTGCTTTGTGGCGTTTCTTAGTGGCCTATGTTTAGCAGTGGGCTTGTGAAGGGCTGTAATGATAACGATGAACATAATATTTTGAATACATGTTGTTTCTTTAAAGAAATTATATAAAAATTGAACGATTCAAATTAAAAATACATTGTTGTATATATCGTGATCTACCCATTCGGCGGTCCGCTCCGACGCCGTAGAAGGGCTATTAAAAACAATTATAATACCTACCTAATCTAGATACACGACTCAATGTCTACTTACGAGTTATATATACGAACACAAAACAAGTAATAGGTGTATCAATCAAAACAACGATACCACCATGTAATCACCAGGTGGCCAGTTATGTAAGCTCTAATTGTTTTATTAAGATTAATGATTGAACGGCGTTCTACTTTAATGGATATGTTTTAAATATTATAAGAACTTTATTTTAATACAAAACACTCATTCGTAGTAGTTTCTATTTTTTTCAAAGATTCCATTAAATATTATGTGTTCATAACTCTACCCTATAATTCTAACACAAGCATTTTAAGCTTACCAGGAGCGGTTTATGGGAAAATTAGTAAGTAGTTGTTATTATTTATAAAATAAATAAGTAAATGTGAAGCATGAATATTGAGAAATTTGTAAAAACATTTCTAAAATCTAGTCTTATTTAACTATACTTCTTACTCTACTACAGACAACATTAGTCCTTGAAATTTGACAACTATCTGTCACATCACTTTCTATATATTAATGATGATAGAGTCTTGGTTGACAGTGTAGTGGCGGTGTCAAAATATCCACTACCACATATCGATCCGTGGCTGTCGTAAGAGCCGACAGAGAGAAACAAATCAGGAGATGAGGAGTAGCAAATTCTTAATACGACAAAAAATAAAAAAACTGCGTTTTCCATGTAGGTATTTTTGGACTTTTGATAGGCTTTTACTGTATCGGTAACGGAGCCTGGGTTGGTGCCAGCCTCTTGCCTATTTCTGCAGCCAAGAACCTTTTCTATATAATTATTCGTACTACTTAAACAACTTCTTACATCTCCCTTTACAATTCTTATCAACATAGATGTTGATAAAAATTGTTAAAGGGAGATCATTTTCAAACGGAAACTTCAACTTCTATTACTGCTATTTTATTACACAAACAAAAGCAAAAGTTTATTAATCTCGTTATAGACTGGATCGAAACTGTGGCCGTTTTTGGCGATCCACGACGTTCCTTTCGGACTGTATTTTTAGCATCACTTTCAAGCAGTTCCATATCGGGAATTGAATACCTCATGAATTATCCCAGATTGTAATTTATTTATGCTCATTCTGAAGTCTGTTATACTGATTATGTGTATTTATTGTTGATTCAAACATCGACAAGTAAAAAAGTCTAAAAGTATGTACGCTGTACGGTTTGAATTGGATTATACCCAAAACTGACTTTCAATGTACATCCCAGAAGGAATTTTGAATCTCAAAGGCTATCACTACATGTATTTGTAACGCTAGTTTATATGATAAATAAAAGAAAAAATAATAATAAAAAAATTGTGTGTGTCAGTGCCGACGCGTGACTGAAGTTTCCATACTGAAAAAAGATTTTCTTAAAATATTTATAATGGGCAAAGGAAGTAAATAAACCCATATATTTATATATATTAATTTGAAAAATTTACATAAGAATATATGACTTATATTATTCATTTCACGCTGAGATTCGCGAGTATGTTACGCAGAGAAAAACTATAACGGCTTCACTTTGCGTTAACGTTTGATTTTACTATATCTATATGTCGGAGCGTCTATAAAATACCCGGTTGGATCGAGGTAGAAGGGAGGGTATATCGAGAAACCCCCTCTTGTGTCTGGAGTATAAAGTTCACTGTAGGTGCCGTGCGCGGGGGATTCCGCTGAAGTCATTCAACGAGTGTGGTCATTCTACTAGTGCTAAGATAGTGTCGTGGTTCTGTTCGTTGTTGTAATTCTTCTAGTGCAGGCAAGGAGGATTGGTGTTGCTGAGAGGCTGCCCTGTGTTACATTGAGATAAGTAGTGTTGCTGTTGCTGTACATATTTTGGTGTTATCATGTAATTACGTACCCCACGTTACACTGGTGTGTGATTGTGGCTGAGACGTATTACGGTGTGGTTGAACTGTAATTTCACTATACTGAATGTATAGTGCGTTACGTTGTCTTATTACTGATAATGATTAAACTGCGTAAGCAAGAGAGCAAGTTGAACATCCGCTCTCACAATTTTATTATTTTTAACAATTAACGCTATCCTGATGTATCTCAGAGATCAAAATTGCGATCCTCTATTGTAATCTCCGACATCAGAAGTGGGATCTCCTGTTGTCATTTCCGATATCAGAAGTGGGATAAAGTCCCTGTTACTGCCCATCTATAAACTTTGAATAGTGTGAGGGTTATTACGTTGGTGAAATGCTATGATACGCCTCGCGTTTTGTTTTTGTGTTTAATTTCTTAAATAAAGTTTGTTGTCGTATTTACGACACTGACGAATCGTTAAAGTATAGAGTAAAGTTTAAAGTGAAATGTTTTGAGCCAAAAATTAAATCTTTTTGTTCGATTAATGATAAAAAGTACCCGCAAGTACTTTCATTATTTCTAAACGTACCCAAATATGATAACAAATGCCAAAAGAAATGTTGGAGGTATTCTAAGTGAGTTATAGTTCGCATTCTGTGGAAGTATTAACTTGCTCGAGTTATTTTATAATTTGATACACGAGGTGTGATTTACATGGGCTAATTTTAAAGTTTAAAATGTTTAAACGATGTACCGAAAAAAATGTTTAACTTTAACGTGCTATTAATTAAAAACACTAAGTTGTACTTCTGTGTTCTAAGTGTTACAGTTTACTGCGAGTATTACGTAGTCGATAAAATTGTGATTTGATGTTAAGGGTCTAGCGGAGAGCGTGGAGCTGTAGCGGTCGCTCTTGAGTGGAACTATGCTGTCGGCTTATGACGCCGCGGACATTTTATTTGCTGCTACTACCGATCACCGTTTGATACAACATGAGTAAAGTAAATTTATCCTAACATTGTCTTAAAAAAAATATTTTGTAAGAATAAGTGTTTACATTTTTAATTGGTTGCGAAAAATGCTGGAAAACCAAAGTATAACTGACGAAATTTAAGTAGAGCAAAGTAGTTCTGACATTGAAGAGAGTATTTAAGTTTACATGAGGATCGGACCGTACCAGAGGTTATCGTGTAGCCGCAGCTCAGTATATGGTGCCCTGGAAAGGCGAATGGTGTCCCGAGAGCTATGCTGTATTTTTTTTTTAATTAAGTTCAGACTGAATCTTTTTAATGTTTTCTTTTATGTGTTACAGTAACACGTGTGATATGATTACATGTGTGAGGAGAGTGTGTGCCTTGCTGGTCGTAACGGATAGCCAGGTCCAGCTGTAGCACGGCCTGGTTTCGGCAGACGCGTATGCGCGCGTATACGCAAGCGCCAGCCCAGAGCGCGTATGCTGTACATGGCGGTGCCTCGGAAGTCTTACACTATGTGTGCGCCGAAGTCGTACACTGTGTGCGCGGAAGTCTTATACTCTGTATGCGCGAAAATCGTGTTCTCTGAACATGCGTCAGGGTGTGTCCTGGCAGGCGCTATCCTGGTTCACGTTTTTTAACGTGGTTCACGTGGTTAACGTGGGATCTTGCAAGATAAAGTACGAGTACGTGTGAGATACTTCGTATGGAGATGTATGCATACTTGTGAAAGCGAAGTGCTTTATTATAGTCCACGGTATGAGAGCGTATTTCTGTTTGAGGGCCTCGTATGCGTGATGGATAAGAAGATAGGCAACTGTGTATGTTGTCCTGATAACTAATAACTTGTTTTTAACGCAGATCCCGATGACGGCAACCCCGACGATGCCTGTGAACCCTCAGGTGCTCCTGCTGCTCCCGTTAACGCTTCGAGTGCGTGGTACGGTGCAGCGTCTTGCTGGCGCTGGTGAGATGCGACGGCTCGCTATGCGAGTGCGGCACGCTCTGTGCTGTTGTTTTGACCACATGAGCTTGCTTCAAGGCAGCTAATTATGGTGTGAGCTGTTGTTTTAGTAGCCACGTATGCTAGCCCTATGCCTGCCGTAGCGACTAGCAGTGAGCGATGTGTTTTCGTCTTCTATGTGAGCAATCACAGCGGTGTGCTGATGAATACTGGTGAGTCGTATCCATTTTATTACGATTCTGGTGCCAAATGCTCTCTCATCAAAAAGATTGTGTTGCGCCAATGTTTAATGGCAAAAGTGTGAATAGTATTGTAAATTTAACCGGAAGCGGTCATATTAGTGTGAAAAGTATGGGGACAAATACCCCCCATGATCATGTGAGGAAGATCCCCGATCACCAAGTTCCTCGAGAGTTAGATGTCATAGTTGATGACAGTGGTAGTGAGACCAAATTTGATTAAGAATGCTTGTATACTCATACTCAAAACTTTAGACCGCACCTCATGAGTAACATGTGGCGATGGGTCTGTAGGAAATCGTTGGTGCGATTTCTGTCTGTGTTGGTGCATATTTGGCGGCAGATATGTAGGGAATCGTTGGTGCGATTCTGGCATATGTGGCGGCAGATGTGTTGTAGCATATTTGGCAGTGGATATGTTGAGAATCGTTGGTGCGATTCTGGCATATGTAACGGCAGATATGTAAAAAATCGTTGGTGCGATTCTGGCCTGTGTTGGTGCACAGAGCCCCTTGTGTATTGTAGCATATATGACGGCAGATATGTGGAGAATCGTTGGTGCGATTCTGGCATATGTGACGGCGGATATGTAAAGAATCGTTGGTGCGATTCTGGTCTGTGTTGGTGCACAGATTTCAATGAAAGTTTCACGAGTTGAATATGCATTGCTTATGAATTGTAAAGAGTAAAAAAGTGTTAAAATTACTGTGTTGGAACTTGTTGATCGGACCTTCCACGATAAATCATGTTGTGCAGGAAGCACTGTGTAAGAAACCTTAATAACAAGGCATTGTCAATTATGACAGTTAGCTATTGTACTTAGAGTCGATTGGCAGGACAGCCGAGCTCGATTAATCTCTGAGCATATTTTGTCTACAGGCACTGCAACCGAGGACGGATGCTAGTCTGGAATGGCCGTGTCATGGATTGATGGCGCCATAGCGCAACAAGCAGCGCTATCTAACAATTAGTTTAGCGAACTAAGAATATGTACCTGCTCGTGTTAGGATGGACGAGCGAACGAGTTGGTGAATAATAGTGTTTGTTACAGGAATGCATGAAAATACACGCCCGAGGACGGTCGTACGTCAGGATGGCCGTGTCGGAGCGTCTATAAAATACCCGGTTGGATCGAGGTAGAAGGGAGGGTATATCGAGAAACCCCCTCTTGTGTCTGGAGTATAAAGTTCACTGTAGGTGCCGTGCGCGGGGGATTCCGCTGAAGTCATTCAACGAGTGTGGTAATTCTACTAGTGCTAAGATAGTGTCGTGGTTCTGTTCGTTGTTGTAATTCTTCTAGTGCAGGCAAGGAGGATTGGTGTTGCTGAGAGGCTGCCCTGTGTTACATTGAGATAAGTAGTGTTGCTGTTGCTGTACATATTTTGGTGTTATCATGTAATTACGTACCCCACGTTACACTGGTGTGTGATTGTGGCTGAGACGTATTACGGTGTGGTTGAACTGTAATTTCACTATACTGAATGTATAGTGCGTTACGTTGTCTTATTACTGATAATGATTAAACTGCGTAAGCAAGAGAGCAAGTTGAACATCCGCTCTCACAATTTTATTATTTTTAACAATTAACGCTATCCTGATGTATCTCAGAGATCAAAATTGCGATCCTCTATTGTAATCTCCGACATCAGAAGTGGGATCTCCTGTTGTCATTTCCGATATATATTTAATACCGTGGGCTATATATGAGCCGATTTTTAAGAAGTAAACTGCAATAAACTTCAATAATTAAAATATATGTATTTTTACAAGAAAATTGTACTAACAGTATCATTTATGGAACGATAGCATTTTAGTTAACCTAAAAGAAAAACGAAACAATCTTATAGCGCCGAAAAACCAGCAAGACAATTTCAACAAAAAACTAATCGATAATCTCGTAAGCATATTATGAGCGATTAATGATAATCACTTTTAATTATAATTAGTAATATTACATACATACTTCAGCTTTTAAATTTGTTAAAGAGAACAATACTGCATTGCAATAGGAAATATCAGAGAATGCATTTTCGTGTGATACTGAATTCAATACAAGTAAGCCTGTCATTCGTTTTGACGGTTTACGTTAAAATGTCAAAGCTTTAGTTTGACGTGCGATTGAGATCAATTTAATGTTTGCGCTAAAAATTTTTGAATGGAAACTGATGTGAGTTGAAGATACCTAAGTTTGATATCGTGACAGGTTGGCCAATATGAGAAGCTACGTGAGTGAACGTAACATATAGCTTTCTTTTTTCTTTATTTTTAAAAAACTAATGTGAAAAACGAATTTATTCTTCACCTGATTGTGACTACTGCAGGCTGTAAACTGTAAAAACAAAAAAAAAACTGCAACTGACTTCGAACAAAGAAAGCTATAGATACGTTGTCAGCTCTGAGGGCTAAGATGGAATGCCTCACAGCTAATAATATTGGCTCTCTATACTCTATATCCTTCAGATCGAGACACAGCAATGCAAGCATCCATATTTGGAGGCAGAAATAGGTAAGATTGTGGTACCTAGCCAGACGGAATAGGCAGAAAAAGAGTCCTACCACCTAAATATTTTTTTTTTAGTAACAAGCTTGCTACATGCTAAAGGAATATTGATTTTTGCGTTCTATAATAATGACAACTAAAATTCGTAATAGTGATGATGATTTTTATTTGCGTCGATCAAAACATAAACGTTTATAAGTCGCATGAATCTATGGCCGTTTTCTCATGACGGCCGCGAAATTGATCATTAACAGTGAAACTAATGAAGTTGATTTCAATTAAAACTCGTCGCGCTTATTTTATGGTTAACGTAGAGGTTCAGTGACCTTTAGTTTCTATTGAATAATTTAACTTTTGTTTAGGTTTATGAGCTAAGTTAGGTGTGTAAATAACTTGACAATGGTTCTTTCATCACAATTTATATCTGGATTTAATAACTACAGTCGAAAAAGATTAACATGCAGCACACCGCAGACACCTAAATTCGATAATTTAGTAGAAATGTGAATTTCCCGGTTTTGAAGGTTAAATGTTCAAACTTTTTTGTGGGCGAATGTCCAACTCAATTTTTTTGCTGTTGCTGTAAAATTCCACTCCTTCATAACAATATCAAAACAATATCAACAAAGATAGAAAGTAAAGTGAAAAATAAAGAATCAAAAATGGGCACACTATTCAAATTATCCAATCTTTTATTTTCAGAAATCTAAGGCGTTAAATTAATCGCATTTTAATTGAAAATTTTAGGAAACAAGCGGATAGTCCCGTCAGACAAGGTATGCTCCATGCACTTCGATAGCATGTTTTAGCCTCGCTCAACAAGATTATTGGGCATGACAACAGCGCCACCACAAACTCCTTATTTAATAAGTTCACTAAATATATAAATGCCAATAAGAAATCCACACTGGAATATTTTATAAGTTATTCGATGTATCTAATGCAAATGGATTCTTCTATAAGTTGATACAAACTATTACAGTTCCGAGAACGAGCCAATGGATACCTGACATACATGAATACAATCCCAGCAATACGAAACTTACAGGAGCCGCGAGTTGCTGTGTCGTTGATTCTATTTTGATGTTGTTTTCCTCAACTTCTATATAACTTACTTTCTTTTTGCAGTAAAACTGAAGCTTACCTGAAACCAAAAAAATAACATGTTTCATTTATTTTTTATCATCATCATCATCATCATTACAGCCCTTCACAAGTCCACTGCTGAACATAGGCCTCCCCCAAAGAATACCACAAAGCACGGTCCTGAGCCACCTGCATCCATCGACTTCCTGCATGTCTTACCAGGTCGTCACTCCACCTCGTGGGGGGACGCCCTACACTTCGCCTACCGGTACGAGGCTGCCACTCGAGAACCTTTCTTCCCCATCGGTTGTCGGTTCTTCGAGCTATATGGCCGGCCCATTGCCACTTCAGCTTACTAATCCGTTGGGCTATGTCGGTTACTCTTTTTTATACGAAACTAAAATTATGAAGTAGTTAATTATTATCATCATTAACATCATTACAGTTCTTCACAAGTCCACTGCCGAACGTAGGCCTTTCACAATTCCGCTAAACACCGGTATCCATCGACTTCCTTGATGTCTTCAGGTCGTTATTCCATCTATCACGGTCTAAGAAGTAGTTACTTATATTTATTTATTGATGAAAGAAAAGCAAAATTGTAAAATAACAGCGACCATAAATTTCGATGAGGTGTTTTAGGTCAATAGAGTCCAACACGGTGTCCAAATGCGTGTTGGCAGACTTCACAACATCATGCCTTCAATTGTTTTTTTTTAATTTCTCCTAAGCACAGGTTTCTTCATGTGGAATTCAGTTTTTATATCTGGAACTCAATTATCTTAATTCATTTCTAAACCTTTGCACTTTGCACACTATTCATATTTTCTGCTCAACCCGGAGTTAGACCGGTAGCAAATGCCCTGTGGCACTAATTTCGTTTTGTACGAGTTTGTGTGCAAACAAAGCTTAAATAAATAAATTTTCAATGATACTGAGCATGTTGTAAATCAGTAGTTAAATTGCACTTAACAATTTAATTGGTGTGAGTGAGGGTGAAACACGTTCCGTACCGTACGTAATCATGTTAAGGAGAGGGAACAACTCTCAATCTTTATTACTAAAGAACTTCGTCTCTTCCTTATAATAAGGGTTTTGTTAAAAATAAATAGCGTAATATATTATATTAAATAAGTTCAAACTATGATAGAATGATATGTCGGTATATCGAAGTGCTGAAGTGTTTATACAGTACGAAACCTATCCAACTTCAGAGAGTTGTAAGACAGGATGACTTTATATCACTGAAACTCTTCACCGCTGCATTGGAAGACGTTTCAAGATACTGGACTGGAAAGGATAAGGTATTAACATAAATGGCAAGTACATTACTCATCTTCGATTTGCCGACGATGTATTCCTTATGGCAGAATCGCTGGAGGGCCTAAGCACTATGCTTAATGACCTCAATAGTGTCTCCTAAGATGAACATGGAAAAAACAAAGATCATGTGTAATGTTCATGTCACATGCAGGAAGTCGATGGATGCAGGTGGCTCAGGACCGTGCTTTGTGGCATTCCTTGGGGGAGGCCTATGTTCAGCAATGGACATGTGAAGGGCTGTAATGATGATGAAGTTTAAAGTCTTGAATTTGACTTGTAACAATTTTAAAACACCTCTTATAATACATTATATTGACAGACAATATATTGTACGAATAGAAATAGAATGTGACCTGACTTAAGAAACTTGTATCCCTGAGTTAAATTAAAAGTTGTGTACACCTTAAAAAACCCACGATAAGGAAATCTGTACAAATAAATAAAATTGAAGTGTCTGTTTGTAATGTCAAAATTTTTACTAATTGCATATAAAAGTATATACGGTACCTATAACAGAAACACAATTGTTGTCTGTCTGTCTGTCTGTCCGTCTGTCTGTCTGTTTGTTCCGGCTAATCTCCGAAACGGCTGGACCGATTTAGACGGGACTCTCACTGGTATATAGCTTATGTTATAAGGAGTAACTTATGCTACTTATATTTTTGAAAAATAATTAGGGTTCCGCGCAACAAAATTAAAACCATAAATCACACGCGAGCGAAGTGGCGGGGAACAGCTAGTATATGTATATAATTATTTTTATGAGTGATTCGTATGTGTTTTTTTGGAGCTCCGATCAAAAAAATTCATCATCATCATCACTGTTAAATAAATCCGATTGAAAGTAATAAATTAATAAATAAAAAGCACTATGATAGCGTTATCAATCATACTGTGTTCATATCTTCGACTTTCAGTTGCCAGACTTCGTTGATTTAACTCAGAAATAAAGGTGATAAGACGTACACGAATCACAGCCATTTGGTTAACTCTATATTTCGAGAGTCAAGGAATGGAGGTCAAGCAAGTGAGTGAGTGCGAATTTCGGCGGGAACCGTCTCCATTATGTATTTTGAGCAGAATACAAATATAGCGTTGTCACCCCTGATAAATAAGATGGAATGCTTCGTTTCCAGTAAAAAGGTTTCCGGTTATCTACACTCACGATATGAAACACAGCAGCTTTATTTTACGCGGATATTTTAGGCTACAGTCAGAATAAAGTTGTAGCATCACGTAGTAAGCCAAGTAATTCAAAATGTCTAATTTATCTGCCTATTGTTGTAGAGAACGTACGCAAGCCTTTACTATTATTTGATAGGGAATGTAATGTATAGGTACAGAGGCGAAGAAAATTATTGAACATAGGGAGTTATTTAGCTTCAATATAGAAATGCATGGTGTGCCTTATAGGGAATTCCATCAAAGCCGATCGCCGTAAGCAAACATTGATACGATGTACAAGCATGACCAAAATAGATAAGCGCAGGAAATAAAACATCAAAGCACGATAACGGCTGCCCCAAAGTGTTTGTAATAGAGTTTATTTGTAGTTAGTAGCGCTGGGTTTGGGATCCCCTTTATTACGATAGGCGTCATTGTGACCCACGCTGTCAAATAGTTCTGCGCTTGTTATGTAGCTGATTAAAAATATAGGTAAAACTGAATATACCGATAATTGGAGTAATCACCCTATTGCGATTTTCGGTTATAGACAACAAGAACAAACTTTTCCGTTAATAGAAAAACCCTAGAGGTGGATAAAAATGTAAGAAGCGTCAACATTAGATATAATGTTTATGTAAGGACTGATAACGATAATTTAATTGCGAAAAGAAAGATATCCGAAGCGCAAGCGCAAGTACACTTTCTATTCCCCTAGTAAGTAAACTCTATATTCTCGAACGGAGGGAGATCAGGCACAGAACCAACGGTTTTACGGTTTTGCTGTTCGAAGCGCGAACGTGAAACACCGCCAACTTGATGATTGCCTGAATTTAGATTTTGGTCGACGCGGAATTCGAAGGCGAGGCCACATGATCAGCCGTTGCGCTCACAGCCACTAGACCAACGATGTAGTTAAAAAAAAAAAACAGAAATAATTATTTCATATTAAATATTACACAGTTATAAAATGATTATGTGTACGATTACATTTCAAGTTTGTTTAATACTAATACGGACAGAAATAATAAATTGTCATAAAAATGTCAACAAACAACAATTGTAACGCACAAGCTCTAAATAAATACAACACTATATCGCGCAGACCTTGCTAAAATTTAGGTCATATTTTGCAATTTCATGAAAAATATTAGTATCTTAAATCTGCAGACAGTGATATTACAAAATTTGTTGGACAAACAAAAACACTGGAATGAAATTCGCACGTTCTTTATATTGTTAGCTTCCGACGAAAACAGATGGGTGTTATATGATTGTAGTGTATATCTGTGTACATGTGTAGCACCTGAACGGATGAACCGATGTTGATTTAAATCTGTTTAGCTATTTGAAGATCATCAGCTCTTTTTGCTTCGGGGGTTTTCAAATTTAAATTTAAGTTATTGACATTTCGAATTTTGCATTTAAAATCAATAATGCTCCAGCATATGCTAATGCGATCATTGTTGTTGTGACAGAATTCATTTGATTTTTTATTTATATAATACTGAGTAACTAACTTCAGTGCACCTGATGTAAAGTGGCTTCTGCATCTACAGGCAACTTCAAACATCAAACAACTTCAAACAGACTCTAATTCTACTGGGTCTCTATACACCCATTCAGTCCGCAACACAGCGGTGCAGGCACTGCTATGTGGCGGCAATATGAAACGATTCAAATTTTTTTTTATACGAATAGGTTGACAAACGAGCACACAGTCCACCTGATGGTAAGTGGTTGCTGCGGCCCATAGACATCTACATCTATCCTCTATTACAAATCAAAATGTAGATGCGTTGTCACCCGTGAGGACTAAGATGGAATGCCTCATTTCCAGTAAATAGGGCCTCCGGCCACCTGCAATCACCAAGCGAAACGCAGAGGTAAACCTCTACTTCACGCTGGTTTTCTGTGAGGTCGTGGCACCACCCCGGTTCGAGCCGGCCCATCCGTGCGACAGCAAAAGCTGCCGCGTGGCTCTACCACTGTTAAAAATTATTTAAATTGTTAATATTACATTATTAATACACTTTTAAGATTTTTATATATAATTATACTATTTATTATACACGATTTAGTAAAAAAATGTACTTACGAAGAAGTTTTTACAGATTTATAGCTCTCTTTAATAGTCTAGCTGTCTTGTGTTTACAGTCTTTTCTATTAAATTAGTTTTCATTTCAAATTTTAAAAAATTTCATTAATTGAATTACGTAGATTGCACCAAAATTAATAATTAAAAAAGCTGAAGGTACTCCGGGCTAACTCTGACATCGGGACGTCAATCACCTCAGTCCCCCGTGACCATGGGTGCTGGAAAGCACCCGAAACGTCGGGAAATAATAAAAATAAGTTAATTAAACGAGATAAAATCCGTAAAAGTAGTTTTATTCAATAAATTATTAATTTTCATTAATTCAAATGAAATAAAAAAGTATCTCATATATTAAAATAAATCTTAACTTAAAACTTTGTACAAGCATCAGCAAAATGGGACCATTAGCAACTGACGTGTTTCGTCAATTGTGTAATGTTATTGTATCTAAACTAATCAACACGAGCTCGTGT